CGCCGCCGCTCAGCTGTCCAGCCTGCATACGCCGGAGGCTTGGGCGCATCTCACCATCCACCGTTAAGCACACGCACAGACGACTGGCTCTGCGTTCCCCTGAACTCGACTCGACCTTCCAACTTATCTATGCGCCGGGTTTCTCTCCTCCACACCATATCTGTTGGCTTCGGCACGGAGTTTGTTTGTACTTGTCTACTTCCTTACTTACCCACCTATCTACTCATCTAGTACTACTGTAGATGTCAAACAGATAGACCCATTTTAGATTGCTTCGACTCGCGACTACTAGCTTCTTCGGATAACCTCGATCACCATGGATCAGTCATCAGGCAGGTGTACGAACTAACTCGGTAGATACTAGCTGGCTAGTCTGCCCTCGATGACTAGCAGGATTTACCGAGGAAACATCGCGATTTAATTTATCAATTCCCCGTGCAGTTCTAGGTAAATTATACGACCCGAAAGCCCAACGTAAGCCCTTACCGCAGAGCTGGGCCTTCTCTATTCTTCTTCCCTCTAATCTCTATCTATCCGCCTCCTGCTTGCACCGACCTCTGGGGGAGTCTGGATCCAAGTGGTCCACCGGCGTCCATCACCGGCCCGGATTTCAACGTCCCCATCGGAAATATCAACCGCCCAACTTGCTGCCCCATCATTCGTCCAACCGTCGACCTTGGTAAATAATGAATGCTGGTTCATAAACCGATCCACGTCCATCCAGGCTCTCGCAGCCACTGCTTCAGAGTTTGGTACCATATCACAACCCTCGGATAAGCGCCATTGTTCCCTACTAGGTACCCAAGGCAGCAGCCCCATCCTGATCCTGGAATCTGCCTTGCGGGAGACCTTGCCAATCTTCCCCGTTCCTCTACCATCAACTTTTCCCGCCTGGTCCACGAGGCTTGCTTGACCTGCAGACAGTCAGACACAAACCCACCCCATGTCGTGGTTGACCACAGAGACGTTACTGTGTACAACCGATCCACGTCTTGGGCCAGGACACCCCTGTTCGGAAAGGTAACGACCTATCCACGACTAACCAAGTGAGTAGGCCCAGTGTTACTTGGCGACACCACCGCGGGGAACACGGCGTATACTCTGGATACCGTATGGAGGGTCAAAATGCGATCCAATTACGGGCTTTGTGGGGATGCCGATCATCGCATGCCCATCCTCCTCGTCCTGGCTGTCCTCCGGTGCAATTGCTCGCCTCCCAGGAGCAGATACGGAGATGCTACCGCTTTAGTCCCCATCAGGAGCACCCAATCCCCCTTTGTGGCTCTAACGACTACACAGTACGTGGGCTGCGTTGGGAAGTCAACCACTAGACTATCTTGAGCACCAAATACTTCTGCCGCGCTTTCTTTACTCTCGAGGGCCCTAGGCCAGTGAGGAGTGCCCTGTGTCGTCTGAATTCGGGGAACTAAAAGCAGCCTCAACTTTCAAGGGCGTCAAAACCATCGTGATTATTGCGGCAGTGCACAGATATCTGCTAATTCGGTGCCTTCGGTCTTGGGGCGACGACGACCCGGAAGGATTGTGTCAATTCGTCTCTTTTGCCCACTCCGGCTCCACAGGGCTATAATGCTGCGAGCGACTTTCCCGACCATTGACCAATCCCGTGCGCAAACCCGCTGGTGACTTAGATTATTGTGGTGACCATGCCTTGCACAGGGCACGGCTCTGGTGGTCCCTCTTTTGACCTCTTTGTAATCCAATGATCCGCCTGGAATCGACCTTGACATTGACTTCTCCAACAGCGACGTCGCCCGCGTTATGCGCCTCCCGACTACGCCCAGCTTCTAGCGTCACCACCCTCCCACAAAGGTTGCTTCTCGGTGAGTCAGGGGCAGTCGAGGAGCTAGGTACAGGCTACAGGATACGTACCAGACTTCGGGATCACTTTGGCCGCTTAGTGTGAGATCAATCGAGTCGCTTGGAGCATTTTCTGTTACCAAATTCCACTAGGGCGCACAATCCTCACCATCCACACACATATTTCTGGATGGAGACCAGACGTAGACGTGTACCTACCCAGGTGTCTTTTCTGCACTGTTGCACGGTTGCACCGTCCGCGGCGCATCCCCATTCCCAAGGCTTCTATGGCCTAGAACGACGATCTGGTATGTGACAGAGTGGGGATTACTCAGGGCTTGCCTCCCTTGAAGGAAATCAGCATACCAGGCATCTCTGAACAATAGCAACGGGGGTCTAGGTATCCTAAAGCCCCCGGGGCTTTCTATATCCATTCAGGCATTATGTCATTCATAGGATCGCCATCCATATTACCATGGTCACATCATCCACCGCTACCATGGGATCTGGCAGATAATGATTTCCTAGTTAGTGTAATTGGCCATCACACCGCAACAGGGCGAGGAAACGCCTAAGACCGTTGGAAAATGGATGATCAGAAAGATCTTGGGCCATGGATGGAAGGATGGAAGATGGATGTCCCGAATTTCCGTGGGCGTGGGCGGCCAGAGGGCTAAGGCAGCCATGTCTCGCGTGCGAATTTTCCGGCGGGAAATCTTTCTTGGCTTCCCGCGCCGCACCGCCAGTCCCTTAGCTTCTATCTATCAGTATCGGATAACCCGGTCCCTGGCTCGCTCCTCGTACATCCTGTTGTTTGCCTCTAAATTCCTATCGGATCGAGCCACGTCAGGTACAAAGGCACAGGAACTTTGGCGCCTGCGTCGGTCTGATACTGGATTCCGGCCAGCCACCAGGCTGCATCTCTCTCAAGAAAGAAACAGAAGCAGAGACGACAGGCATCAGGCGCACAGCCGTTATCAAGTAGAACCAGACGAGAACTTCCTTGGACAGGTGAACTGCCCAGCTAAAACGTGCTCTTATCGGTCAACAGAACCCGGGGCGTCTACATCGGCGATCACTGTCACTATCTAAATCATGCATACGCTCAAAGCGACTGCATCCTCCTCCCTCTCACTGGCGGAGGGCCACTACATCTATTCCATCGCCCCTTCGTCCCCAGGGTCGTTTGCCGCGATTTCATCGGATGACTCCCTTCGTGTGTTTGACGCTAACGGGCTCAGCCATGCGTCCGTCGTTGCTGCGAGCGCCCATGAGGGCGTCACGTCCCTGAAATCGTATGACGCCGGCCAGCAGGTGCTGGCCACGGCAGGAAGGGATGGCAAGGTGAAACTATGGGATCTGCGCAGTGGCAGGAAGTCCGCGGCTGTGGAGATGGAGACCCGTAAGCCTCTCGTCGCCCCCTTTCGCTTTGATTCTCCTCTTTTCGGTGCTGTATCCGGTGGGCCTCATTCAAGGCGTGGCCTCACTTGGGGCCAAAGGTTTCCCGCCGTCAGACTTCCCAAAGTTTGTCATGCATATGCATGACCCATCCGCAAATGATTGCTCGCTAACCTTGTTCCGGCGACAGCGAAGCAGGCCCCCGTGTTGTCCGTCGCATGCTGTCCGGAGACTAATGGAATTGTGGCTGGAACTGAGCTTGTTTCATTCCAGGCCATTGTCGCCTTCTGGTGAGTTGATTCGCCGACCCCCCCCCCCCCCCGCCTCATAGCCTATGCCTTATCCGGAGGAGCTACCGGGGCTGGACGTTGTACCAGTTTCACGAGCTGCTAACTGACGCAACAGGGACACCAGATCACCCGGTCAAACGTCCCTCCAGTACGTTGAGAGCCACAACGATGACGTGACCGAAGTACGTGTTACTCGAGACTCCAGCTCCTCTCCTTACTAACAAATCGTCCGTGGATGTAGCTTCAGTATCACCCAGTCCGTCGCAACCTCGTCCTATCCGGCAGCACAGACGGGCTGGTCAATATTTACAACACAACCATCACCGATGAAGACGATGCCCTAGTGCAAGTCATCAACCATGGCTCCGTGCACCATGCAGGGTTCCTTGGCGAGAGGACTATCTACGCCCTCAGTCACGACGAAGACTTCTCTATCCACCCGGCGACCGATCCAGACGAGCCGACGCAGGAGTTCGAACCTGTGCAGTTCGGCGACCTGAGACAGCCTCTAGGCTGCGAGTACATCGCACAACTGTGCATCGGTAGTCAGGGACCATACATTGCCGCGGGCAACAAACAGTATGTGACTGGTCTCATGCGGGTTCATTCTCATCCGGACTAACAACCCTGCAGGGAAAACCGCCTGGACCTGGTTCCGCTCGTTTCGACACCGTCTTGGCGATTCGACCAAGACAGTCTGTGGCGCCTGCCCGGCGCCCACGGCGAAGAGATTGTACGTTCGGTTTATCTCGATGAACAGGTATGTTGTCCTTTTCAGAGGACTGCGTGGATCCAACTGACAACCATTAGTCTCAGTCTGTGTTTACCTGCGGCGAGGATGGGTTTGTTCGCGCCTGGAAGCCCGACAGCGAAGCCCAGGGAACCGCTCAGACGGAGGTCAAGATGCCACGGAAGGATAAGAAGAACAAAGAGCGGGGAAGGTACAAGCCTTATTGACGCCCTTGGGAGGACCTGGGTGTTGTTTTCACAGCAGTCAAGGATATAGATACGATATTCAGCACCCATTCCATCAAGTATTGAACATAGCATCCCGATTTCAGGTCCAACAACTCCGTACAAGGATACGGTATATCCACCCCTCAAACAACGACCGACATCTGCCACTACGTTATAGACGTACACAGAACCCAGAAACAGAGATAGATAGTAGCAAGTGTTCAACTTGCCTAAGTTCCTAGCGGCGATGGGTACTAAAAAAAGCAAACACAACAGCCTGAATGAAGACAACTACTATGCATCCAACCAACATCATCCTCCAACAACTCACACCCATTTAAATATATACTACCGATAAAATGAAGAAGTAAACGCGCCTTCAACCCGATCCCCTGCATCGATTAAGAACAAAATTAAAGAAACAAAACAAACAAAACTCCCAACTTCGAGAAAAGCCAGCCAGATAGACGGACAATCTAGAAGCACAAAAAGAGTACTAGTGACAAAGAGGCCAAAATGAAAAAAAGAAAAAACTGATAGTCGCGCCCGGGATCGAACCGGGAACCTTCTCGGAACCTCCTCAATAACTGAGGATTGTGAACGAGAAATCATAACCATTAGACCACGCGACTAGTGGATAAAAAAACTTTAAATCTTTTGCATTGATCATTCAGTCTGAATAGGTTAGGTGAATACTGGCGTTATCTTATCTGCGGAGAGAGGAGAGAAGAGAGAGAGAGCCGGAATTAGATTTTTTTTTCTCGCTCTCCCTTCACTTACATAACTCTCCTCACTTACATTCTTTTTGTTCTTGTGTCGGGTGGACTTGTTTAGTCACCGGCGACAAGTTGTTTAACTATTACTAGTTGAGGGCGAAAAGGGATTTAGTCTTTTCTCTGTTCTTCGCTTGTTGTTGGTTGAGGTTGATTGCTCACCGTCGCAATAACTTAACCTCCCCCCGAGATTATACCCGGCCCTCTATACACCCCACCCCACGACACACCACCTACACTCCAATCCGTAAGATCCCGGTCCTGCAGGAATAAGACAAAAATGGACGCCCAAGCCTACCTCCTCCGCCACGGCTGGTCCGGACCCGGCAACCCCCTCAACCCGAACCGTCGACCCGGCACACACGGCGGACTGGGCCTCACTCGACCGATTCTCGTTGCGCGCCGCCAAGGCAATCAAGGTGTGGGGAAGAAGACAACCAAAGATCATACGAATCAGTGGTGGCTACGCGGATTCGAAGATGCGTTGAAGGGAGTCGGAGAGGAGAATAGATCTGGTGCTGGGGAGACGAAACGGGCGCCGAATGCGTTGACGAGTGAGCTGTATCGGTTTTTTGTCCGGGGAGAGACAGTTCCTGGGACTCTAGGGGGAGTGGAGAAGAAGGCCGAGGAGGAGAAGGAAGGGGCGAAGAAGAGGAAGGCCGAGGAGGGGGATGAGATGGAGATTGATGGCGAGGGGAAGAAGAGGAAGAAGGGAGGAGAGGAGGAGAAGAAAGAGACCAAGGAGGAGAGACGGGTGAGGAGGGAGGAAAAGAGAAGGAGGAAAGAGGAGAGGGCGAAACGGAAGGAGGAGCGCAGGAAGAGGAGGGAGGCGAAGGAGGTGAGGAGAGCAGAAAGGAGGGAGAAGAAGGAGAAGAAAAGGCTGCTGAAGGAGGCAAAGAAGCAGAAGAAGGATGAGGAGCACCGTCCAGAGGAGGAGTATCCTACGCCGCCGGCGACGGAGCTGGAGCAGACTGAGTCGAGTGGCCGGGATGAGTCGGTCGTGCAGGAGGTGAAGAAGGCGAAGAAAGAAAAGAAGGAGAAGAAGGAGAAGAGCAAGAAGCGGGAGGCATCGACATCTGATGCCGGGTCGAAGAAGAAGTCGAAAAAGTCGGAATCGGGTTGACTGGCTGGATAGGGATGGAGGTGTATAGATAGACCTAGACTTATAGATACCCATGGCTTGCTGCTTGGTTCTTGTACATTCGCATGAAAAGCATTCTTCATTATATGTCTTATCACGAGCTCATCTATTTAGACTCCACTGGCAGCTTCCCAGGCTTCCCCGAGAGAATCCAGGGTCGTCTCTCCCAAAACTCGTCCTTGATGATGTCGACATGGTCAACGACCACCTGTGCCTTGTTCCGCAGTTTACGGAGCTTGTCCTGCTGTGTCTTTGAGGGAGTGGCCTCCTGCAACGGTGACGTGTCTTCCTGAGCTTGAATGCTCGAGTCTGACCTTGCCTTGACATCCTCCAATTGATACTGGTTTGGTCAGCATCATTAGGTACGAGGTGGTAGGACACACATACCTGGCGGTAGATTACACTGCCCTTCTTGTAAATCTCTTCCTCATTGTTATAGTTGATGCCGAATCTCTTGAAGAGGATCTCATTCTTGTCGGACGACACGGTGCCCTAGTTCCACACTTAGTACCGTTACCAGCGCCCCCTTAACGTGAGAATATCACCTTCAACTCCTGTTCAGCATCGCGGTTGTCCATACCACCTTTCTGAACCATAGCCCAGAAAGTCGTATTGTAAAGGTTGTTAATGTGACCTGCAGCGCATCAGCAACGCAGCCAGTCGAAGTGCCACCCAGACACGAAAGGAACTCACAATCCACCTGTCGCCAGCTCATGTAATCCCTAAAAATTCTGGAATTCGGATACATCACGGCTCTCCCATCGAACGAAGGCAGTCCGGGAGCCTGCAACGGCGTATCAGGGAAATATGTCCCCCAAAGATAGGTGTAATACGCCGTGAAGGTAGACACAATCGTCGTTACTAGCTTGCTGTATTCCCAAGGAAGTTAGGCCCACACCGTCGGAGTGGTAGATATCGGGGAGAGACTCACGCACTCCGCCGCTCGAATAATTGGCAACTGGGGTGGAAAGCGAAACTAGGTCAAGTCAGCACCCCCGCACATGAGTCCGTGGATGCAGCACCACAAACCTGTACTCATCGCTGATACCGTAGGCAATACACAGGTCAGGAAGGTCCTTCATAACTGCGACTGCAGCGGCGTTCATTAGATCCAGGGCCCGACGATCGTTGGGCTTGATGAAGCCGTAGTTGGCGGAAAGTCTATCTTACATTAGCGGAACGTACGAGCCATCTGATGGATAGATGAGCCTGAAGACAGCTACCGCATAGCATCCCGTAGAGGATGCAGCAATACGGCGGAGATTGCAAGGAATGAGGACTGACTTGTGGAACCCCCTGCCATCGATGCGGACGACGATCCATGTATTGGGGAGTAAAACGTCCGGCTGCTCGAAAGACTTGACATATTCATATCTGGGAGGTGTTAGCTGCAGTCCAAGATAATTTCGCTAGCTAGAGAGGATACTTGGAGTTCGCCATGTTGCTTCAATCTTGTACGTATGGATAGTGCTCGGTGTGATGTTGTGCAGGGAGACCTGTCGGGCAGAGCTGAGGGACGAATATTCTGGTGGGGATGGAGGACGAACCGAACCGAAGTCACGGCCAGCCCTTCCGCTTCTCCCAGCATCCTATTGAGAGACGCCATGGACTTCGACTCGTAGCCCGTTGCCAGGTTCTTTTCAATACGGCCAAAGAGATCAGGATGGAATCGTTCAGAGTAGGAAAGGCAGGTATGCCATAATGATGACTTCTATCGTCACTACCTAAGAAATTGTAGAGAATGCCTAAAGCCACAAGTACCACCTGATGACTGCTGAATCTAAGGAAATGTGAAAGAATGGATGGATGCTAGGATGCATGGACTTCCTCCGCCGTCTCCTCATCCTCCGCCTCGCTAACCTGCTCACTCGGGTGTTCACTCGTCTCGCTGGCCGCCCTGTCCGACTTCCTGGACATGCGGCTGAAGAATCCCAGGCTGCTTCGCGTCGACCGATCTGCCGACGGGGCGCTGGACACAGTGCTGTCCACACTCTTGGCCAGCAGCGCCTCGCTATGTGCGTCCTCGTCGATGTCGCCTTGCGAAGGGTCTCCCTTCTTGGAGAACAGACCCGACCGATCCTTCCAGGAACTGAACTTGCTGGAGCTGCCCTTTCGGGTGATCTTGCGGATAAACGACTCTTTCGAGCTCCCGTTATCCAGCGAGCCCGCGGAGGGCATACGTTCCAGAGACTCATACGAGTCGCCGGTGTAGACGGACAGAGACCGAGAATCCCGGGAGATTCGCGACTCGGACGGAGAGCCTTCTTCCATGTGGAAATCAAATGGGGCGTCTAGCTCTCGGTCCGCTGCCATCTCCTTCTCTTTACTCTTATCCGATCGTTTCCCGAAAATAGTCCGGAAGGTAGGCGCGGCAGGGTTCAACTTCGGAGTGACCGGCCGGTGAGAAGATGATGGTCGTGTGCCGATAGGTGCTTGCAATGGCCGACCCTGTCGCTCGAATGAATCTTGAAGGAAGTCGGGCTCTCCAGTGAGACTTAAAGGCAAGTGACCGGAGGAGCCATACTGCGTAGATGGTCGGCGCGACTGCACTCGGGACCACGTTGATGGTGAGGCCCAGTCAAACCCCAGGGGACTCCGATGGCCTTGCTTTTCAGCCGACGGCCAACCGAAATGCCGATTATCTGTAGAGGGATGGGGTAGCTGGTTCTCGAAGGAGAAGGTTGACGAGGGCCGTGGGGACAGCGAATCCCGACGAACGGTACCCAAGATAGAGGAGGGGTCGATAGGATCGTGCCGCGGGCTGAACTGGTTGTATCCGGTGCTAAGATCGGAATTCTCACTAGACTTGAGCAAGCTGCCGCTACTGCCAAAACCGAATCGGCTGGGCGAGAAGATGCTGGAAAATGCCGCGCGACGAGAGGGAAGATGGTCGGAGGAGCTATCCGTGGTAACACCTGCTGTGTTGCTTCGGGGGAATAAGGACATCGGATTCGCCCAGTTGCCTGTATAGCTCAGCCGACGACGTCTAGCCCCGATGGGATCCATCTCATCCAAATTACGGGGGAACGACTGACTTTGGCCTGGTTTCAGACTACCCAGCAGAGGAGGCTCGTCGGCCAGCGTTTTACCGCGAGGCCGATGGAAGCTAAAGAGCCCGGAAAGCCTGCGCGATGCACTCTTGGGCGCCTCGCCCACCTCTAAATTCACGGGCTGAGACTCAACGTCTTTCGTATGCGCTTGATTTTCCGGACTAGCGAAAAGGCTTTCTGGCCGGCTTCCCGTGGAATCGGGAGAGGGCGGTCCATGGGGGAACTCGAGAGGAGCGCTTGACTGCTCAATGTTGGAGAAACGAGACCGAATGACCGGGCGGGGAAGTTCGGGCGACTCTTCATCCCCAAGGAGGTCGGAGGGAAGTAACGCATCGGCGCGAGGGCTCATCTGCGGGTTTCCAAGAGACAAATCCGAGTATCCCCTTGTGGTGTCCGATTGACCCGACAAGCTCGGGAGGGTCATTCCATTGGTGATATTGAAGAAAGCGGTCGTCGGGCCAAAGGTGGGAGAGCTCGTGGCAGGAGGATTATAGGTGATGCCGCCGGAGAATGATGGCTCCATAGCCGTGAAGTTCATGGGGGAGGAGACATTGCTGGCGAGTGAGCTGCGGTGTCGACGTGGGCGGATGGTCGCAGTGTTGGAGAGATCCAGGTCGAGAGCTGGGAGAGAGAATGGCCCTGTGCTGCCGGTACGTTGGGTAGTCAGC